ATTTTTTGATTTCAAAATAAAAAAATATGGGTATATTTTTTCGGTATAGAACAACAATCCTAGGGGTGAGAGCATACAAATTTCGACCTTACTTTTTCACCTGCATATTTGGACCACCCTAATGTACATAAATACACATGCGTTTCGGAGAGTCATCAGCTGGAAAATTCGTGGCAAATTTATTTAAATTTGTAGTCCTTACATTTGTTCAATAAATCGTGGCCTGAAATGCAAAGACGCAACAACATCGTAACTGAAATGGAAAAAGTCCTGACTAAATTTTTTTATTTTTTTCATTAAATGATGTGGGAATTGTAATACAATGAAATCCATCATATCAATCAAAAACTGAATTTTGAATTTTTTATTAGTTACGCCTTTTTGAATTTCAGCGACGACATACCCTCTGTGTATTAAACGAGGCCAACTCAAAAAGTAGTAGAAAACAACGTTAAGGGCCGTTTTCTAGACTGCCTGTTAGTACTCGGTAACTCGGTGTTCGGTAGTTTTTTCCCATGTATTTTGTTTGTGTAAAATAGTGTTACACAAAAAAAAATACATGGGAAAATATTACCGAACACCGAGTTACCGAGAACATCGCGACGGGATTTTTAAGAACGATGCGAGAAGCAACGAAAAAATTTCGATGAAAAAAATATTTTTTCTCGGGTTCGAAACTATCCGGTCTTTTAAGTTGGAACCAACAATACACACCCACAAAATTTTATTAAAATCGGTTATCCGGTTTCGGAGATTAGCGTAAACGAACATAGTGACTCGGTGTTTTTATATATACAGATTGTTCATACTTTAACTAAAAGCATATAAATTAACGTTTCAAAATTTAGAAATACTACACATTTTCATCACAATTTCTAGCTTTTAAATTTCATCTGCCCTTTAAACACAAATTTTATTCTCAAAAAATGTATTTAATGAGTAGATAAATTTTTAGCTTGAGAAAACGGATGCGTGAAAAAGTAAAAATTAAACAAATCTCCACCGTGACAATGTCATGCGATGACATTGCCGTGACCAGGATTCGAACCTGGGTTACTACGGCCACA